AATTCTCAAATATTGTTAGTATATGATTAATAAAGCAATGCTCCATTTTCCGATGGGTGTAGGGCCGTAGGCGTTGTTCTTGATCGAACCACGTTAATTCATGTGTTCTTTATTCTGTATTTTATTTTTGTTCATCATACAAACATAATTAGAGTTTGCATGGTACCATACAAACCGGTTATGTGAATTGATTTGGCTAATCACATTTGCCAAATATTATACAAATTAACGTAATTGCATTACGTACAATGAATCTTCCCCTAACTAGTTTGGTTTGTGTCATGTTTGTTTTAAAGCAACCGAAGCCTAACAATATATATGAATCTTTATTATATTCACTGAACTTGGTTTTGTTTATTGATGTATTAATTTATTTTTATTTTTGTTTGACAAATCATTATATTGAACTTGGTTTAGTTGGATCATTTTCAGTAATCAGTACTAAACTTTAATTTGGGGTGTACCAAATTGCATAAGGACAATTAGGATTAAGTCAAATCAATTATGAAATGGTGGACACACGTAATCAAGTACTATTATGTATTAAATTTATTAAATATGAATTTGCAACAATAAACAATACAGAAAATTCAAAATTGAATTTTTGATATAATGTATTTAACTATTTACAGGTGAGAACAAATTAAAGCTAGGGTTTGAACAACTTGGGCCATTTAAGGCCAATCGAATATGCGCTAGGGCCCATTACATAATAAAGCAAATGGTATATTCAACTAAACATGTTATTTGAAAAATAACTCAATTTTTTATTAAAAACAAGAAAGAAAACACTTTTTATTTAACTCTTTGAAATTATTATCGCTAAAATATTGTTTTATATAAAAAGAAAGAGTAAATTATAGTCAACCCCAAGGTAAGGTCAAATTACGAAAATATCCCTATTGTTTGGTTAATAACACTCGACTATGAATCTTCTTACAGATTCGTGTGGGGGTGTGCGCGGGCCATAAACCCGCGGGTTCTATCAAAATCTGCCCTCGTCCCGTCAAACAACTGTTCTTGGTTTTGAAGAATCAAACTTGTGGGTTTTCAACGGGTTTACGATAGGCGGGTTTATGGCGGGTTTGAATAGTAGGACACAACCTTTACGGGTCGAAACCCGTTATCGTCTAAACCATTTTTTTTATATAACTTATAAGTTTTACGGGAGAATAATTAAAAACTAAAATGAATAACATAAAATCTTAAATTGATACTAAACATAAATAATGTAAATGTCAAGAGTAAATAACAATTAATATAAAACTAATAAAAATAACTATTTCAGAACTTAAAAGACAAAAATTAAATAAAATAAATATAGCATTTTCAAGCATAATCCACGCTATTCAGCTCCATTCAACATCATTTTCTTCCTATTTTTTTTTCTACCGTACGTGTGTTGACCGTTGTATATATATATATGCTTTTTTTCCTACATATTTTCTTAGAGATTTTCATAATCTTTATAGCTATTACTTTTACACTTATAGTTTAGTTTATTTATGTATTTGATACACTAGAAATACTTTATTTATTCATTAATATTATTAATTTATTATATTATATAACGTAAACAAAATGACGTCGTTTTGTATGGCCGGGCGGGACGAGTTTCACGGGTATTAAAAAAAATTGAACCCATTTTAGACCCAAACCCACGGTTCTTCACCATTTCGTTGAATGTTTTATAGTTTGTACTCGTTTTGTGTAAAAATGCAGTTTCTGATGCCCCACAATTTCGTATTTACAAACACAGATACACATCTTACGATAATATTGTTTCAAAATGTGGAGCTCGAATGAATATTCTACAGAATCTAGAAAATTCCACTAAATTTGACACCGACCTAAGGGGTCACCGTAATTTAGGGGTCACCGTAATTTAACAAAAGATAAACTTCCCTATAGTTTTTGTTGCCACACTATGTTTCTGTCCTTTTACGTACACATGCATGAAATGTATACATATATGCACACACGTGCATGTGGTGTATATATACATTTATAGAACAATTCATGTGATCGACACACGCACACACACTCATGCATGTGAAATGCTTGGTGAACCAACGTCCATGTACATGTCTTTACACATTACGTATAGTGTGTGTATATATATATATATATATATATATATATATATATATATAAAATAAATTTATTTGACCAACATATAATTTGTAGGTAGAAAACAAGTAAACAACCAAAGTGCCAGAAGACTGGCTTAACCCTCCACTTTTTGAACAGCCATTTGAATTAAAAATATATATTCAGAACTTATCGTAGCAACATTTATTAAAATCAGAAAGAATAATATAGATAATAAATAAAAGCACGTGTACGCTATTTATTTATTATTTTATTTTTGATTAAAAATATTTATTGGTAATTTGTCGGGTGTGTGTGAACTGGGCCGCATCTAGGTTGTTGAGTCGTACATGGGCCTCATACAATAGAAGCGTGTTGTCCCACGTGCCAATTGTCCCTCACCAAAACAAAGAGCAAATTTCCACTTTTCTTACTCCAATTTTATTTTATTTTATTTTTATAATTATAATATCAATTTTATTTTTATTTTTCTTTTTTAAGTTGTCCCATTTGGGTGAACTAAATGCATAATTGGAAAGGAGTTGTGAATAATGAGAAAACACCTAAACACCTAAAATCTTCTTCTAGAAGTAAACATCGGCGTTAAGGAACTTACAGAGTCGTATGTTGTAAAATAATGATCTTCTTTAACCTATTGTCTTATTTTTGAAAAAAATGACCGTCCTCTGTACAAAATGGTCTGGATACGCTTCTAGATGTACCTAGGATGATTTCACGGGGACGAGTACGAAACACTAAAGTACAAAATTACAGGGTTGAAAAATGGTTAAAAATTTAATTTTATATGACCATGATATCATTATACAAGAATATGGATGATTTTGAAGGTATTTTAAGTAAGCAATATTACAAGTAACGTTTTCGATGATATGACCATATAATATCATTACCAAATCTTGTTAAATTTTAGTTTTACCAATGATATTTTATATTTGCAATAATAAGTATTAATAAAAATATAAATGTGCATAAGAAAACGGAAAAAAAAAATCGAAAGAAGGCAAAACTCGTATTTCTTGCACCAAAAGGCGAAATCCCTCGCCCCCTGGGCCCCCATCCCTTGGCCCGACAAGGATTGATGGAGGAATGAAAATTATGGTAACTCAACGGCCCGTTAAGGTAGCGGACCCGGACCTGGTGCCCACAAGGAACCAACCCTCATTGGAGTTGAAATTCCCACACTGCGGCTGCCAGGGGCGGACCCAAGGCTTCTGTTGGGGGGGCACCCGCCCCTGCAGAAAAAAAAATTTTTACCTTTTTTTTTTTATTTTTTTAATATTTTGGCTTATTTATGTATTAATTTATACACTTTAGCCCCCCCAAAGTTAAAATTTTATACCATTTAACCCCAAAACTTTTTTTTCGCCCCCCCACCCAAAACCCCCTGGGTCCGCCCCTGGCGGCTGCCAGGATTCGATCCTAGAACCTTGCACCAACTTACCACCTCCGGAACCAGTTGAGCTACACCCATGCGGGCCAAAACTCGTATTTCTGTCAACACACGAGATAGAGATGACGATACATACGAATTTAACGTAGTTTAGTAATTCGACTGATCTAAGATTTTTACCAAGCATACAAAGACAAAATCTAGAATGTACTAAGTAGTATGAAAATTGTTGAGGAAGTTTTGTTTTGAATTGGGTGATGACGAAAAAGGTTGGTACCAAAACCATGAAAGAAAGAAACAAACAATTAGTAAGGTTAGGTAATGAAGGCATTATGCATTACTACATGGAGCTTGTGCCAAATATGCAACACCGCATAGAATAAAAGCCGTGTGGAAAGAATTATATATTTCTAGGGGCCAAATTTTACAAGTGTCTAGTTGTATTATGATGACACGTGTTGGCCTTTTACTTTAGAAAGTGACATTTATCTAATTGTAGATACATCCTTGAGTTTTGAACTAATTATTTTCTTGACTATATATTTTTATGTAGGAAAATCAAATGGGTAAATTCCACTTTCCCCCTTGTACTTTGGCTAGATATCATTCTACTTCTTTCTACTCTCGATTGCATCGATTTTTGTCCTTGTACTTGAAATTACAAAAAATTCACCCCTTCCATTTTAAATAATTATTACAAATTTAAAAAATAACATCGAGGGCCACATTGAGACAAATTTTCAAATACATGGAGGCAAATCGATGCAGTCGAGAGTAGAAAAGAGTAAAGTGATATCGAGCCAAAGTACAAGGGGGGAAAGTGAAATTTAACCAAATAAAATCATTAAATTATTGCGAAAATTGTACTCCCGATAAATTCATAAATACTTATTTTCTATTTAATTTTGGATTTTGAATTCATTCTATTTATATTTACTCCCAAATTTAACCACATTACACTATTTATTGATGTTGATATAAAAATCAAGTATATATATATATATGTAGACATTGTATAATTAGAAAGTTATAGAATATCAAGTTGGTCATCAAGCAATTAAGCACGTACGAAACTCTCACTAACACGCGTGCATTAGGTTGGTAGACAATTAAAAAAATAATTATTGAAATTTAAACTATATATTGCTTCAATGTATTATAATAAGTGTACTATGATGACAATTACATAGGCTTCGTCACATTTGATTCCTAGTATCGAAATCTAAAAAGAACTTACAAAATTTGTAATAAAAATGCCTAATTATTAATTATTATAAAATAATGAGCTAGAGCTCGAAATTATAAATTGCAAATTTGATGAATTCGAGCTCACCAAACAAGCAACCATAAGCTCGACTCGTATATTCTTACGGGCATGAAACAACAAATGAATGTTGGAGTTAAGATTTTAAATTATGTATTTATTTATTTTAAATCCAAAAATTAGGCTAAAACCAAAAAATCCTGCACTTTTGTTTTTTCCTTTAGATTTTCAAATAATGACAAAAACAAATTAATAATGTAATGTACTATTTCAAATTTGAATTATATCGCCTAATTACCTAAATGCAAGTACAAAGTACACTAATTAAATACTCCAAATCTATATACCAAAAAGTATTTAATCAAAAACATTAAAAAAAAATTACAAAAAACGTGTGTGTACTTTTTGCTGACCGGAGATTTGATTGAAAACAGAGCTAGCTAGTAATCAAGAAGCGGAGGAAGGAGGGTACTGGCCGGATGTCCACGGCGGCGCCTGAAAATTGGCGGTGCTACTACCGGCCTGAGTTTGTTGGTTACTTGCTTCCGGCGAGAAATGTATCGTTTGCCCACTGGAGAAGAGGTACGACGACGGAGATGAAGAAGATGCAGAGAGAAATGAAGGGTGGGATGAAGAAGAAGATGATGCAGCGAAGGTGTTTGATGTTGTGTTTGAGTAAAGTCCGGCTAATGAAGAAGCGTAGAACATCTGCTCGAACAGAGTTGTCGACGGTTGTTGTTGTTGTTGTTGTGGTGGTGGTGGTCGGAAATCGGTGCTGCTCTGAAGGAGCTGCGAGTACTCCCAGTAGTCCCTGGCGGTGTTCTGGAAGAACGACGGCGGAGACGGGGCGAGGTGCGGCGGAGGGTGGTTTGCGGCGGTGGCGAGGTGAGGGGCTCCGTGGGGTTGAGGTGGTGGCAGGATTCTGACGTTTTCCGGGAAGTTGAGTTTGGCGCGGTTGCCTCTGAAACGGAGGGCCGCCTCGTCGTAGGCACGCGCCGCCGCCTCGGCGGTTTCGAAGGTGCCGAGCCAGACTCTGGCGGCTTTGTGTGGGTCGCGTATTTCGGCAGCCCATTTGCCCCATGGT